CAAAAATAGCAAAAGGTTTTGCAATACACAAGCAACAAACAGCATCAGTTGTGAATTTTTACTGCCGCAAGATTTTACTGCCGATTCACAAGCAATTGCACAAGGTCAGTAGCGTTTGTGTCCACCTTGTGCATTGGTGCAGGCCCGGTGAAGATCATTCTATACCCGATGAAAGACTTTGCGGAGTTCCTGCAGCGTTGTTGGAGGATTCTGATGACATCGGAAACGTCGTTCCATTTCACTCCATTGTGTTTGACTCATTAACATTGCTTAACATCAAAACATGAGCAAATCTAGGCGATGTATCGAGAAATCTCGATGATATGTCGAACAGAAATTCAGTTGCACTGCATTCTCTCATGCTACCTTTTTCAATTACCTGTTGTGAATTTTACTGGTCGTCACTATATTCTATGCATACATAGTTCTCAATATCTGGTTGTAATATCTTTTTAATGACATTATTAAATTCACGTCACACATTTCAGCATATAGTGATGACAAAGCAATATGTGTCATGAATGAGTAATTAGTTAGGGACAAGTTGCATTTGTGACCAACTGACTGAAACATACCTACCATGGGATGTAAACAAACCAGACCATGTAGAAACTTTCGGAAAATCCAGTATAATTAATAACCATGTTACTATGGTTTGCACCCATTTCCATAAAATCGTGCATTTTTAACTTTAATCTTACATACAGTTTAAATACGCTGGTTATGACGATGTTGACGACGTTATATTTTGAAGTAGGGACATAGTATGACTAGTGTGCTGGTCAAATTTGTAGCGTTATGAGCATACCTTTTGGCGAGGAGTTTAGCGCATTACAAATGGACTCATTATTATTATTATGTTTTACAGATTAAAGATACTATGCAGCAGAAAGGGTTCGGGTGATCCTTGCACAGTCAGGCTGGTAAGGCTCATCATCAGCTCATGGCCCCCGCCCGCACTACACGCAGCCCAGACAGAGAATGGGACTTCTCCCAGGAAACACTGCCTAGTCGAACCCACCAAGAACTTCCGGAGAATATAAAGGCTTCCCTACACTGCAGCCTTCTGCATTACCCAGAGTGTCAGAAGGGCTGTGTTCCCGGTGGCGAACTCCGGGCACACTCCTGATCTGCGCCAAGAGATCAGGAGGTACCCACCAAGGGCACCGAGAACAATGGGGAGCCTGACGACAGTGTACTTGGCATGCAAGCGAGACATTTCAAAGGCGAGGTCCGCATATTTATCATGCTTTTCCTGAATCTTGTCAATCACGTTGCTGTCAAAAGGGACAGAAAATGCAGTGATATAAATAAATTCATTGGCTTTATCAAAAAGGACAAGATCAGGTTTGTTGGCAGGAATTCTTCTGAGGCTGTATATGGGCCTATTCCACAGAAGTTTCAAAGCATCATTTTCCATGACGCCCTGGACATGTTCAGGGTCGTACCATGGATGGACCTCGGAGTCAAAGCCACAGGCATGGCGGAGACGGTAGTAAAAGCAACGAGCTATGCCATCATGTCGTTTAAGATATACTGTTTGTGCCAAAGAAGGGCATCCACTGACAGTTGGACAGGCTCTGTGAATTCATTACACAGTCGACATTTCATGTTAATATTCTCTTTAAGAATCACATTTAGGCGATTGCGAGTAGGAAAGCCCTCAGTTTCACATTTAAGATCAGCCGACTTCATCCAGGCGAAGGAGTCAGTTGGATTACTGTTTGTTTCACACACTGCATGTATACACGATGCAGTGGTTTCTCAGAAAACTTCTCCGCAAGTGACCGACTCTGGGCAGACTTGGTAAAGGACTTCACCTGCTTTACTCCCATTGTTGTACCGTCCAGCAGTACATCGCCATAAAAAAAATCAACATCAAATTTCAGATTTCGTCCAAGAACCTTGGCACGCTTAAAATAGCTGTGGAATTCCTTGCTTTCATCATGAGTCTTCACATGCATCAACAGAGGGTCATCCAATAAATAAATATGTGCAAAAGTACACAATACAATTCTATCAAGAAGAGCCTCCACATTAATCAAACCCCGACCTCCAGAATTGATTGGCATATATAAACGATTAAGAGAGGAACGAGGGTGGTGAGCTTTGTTTTCAGACATGATCCTTCTGGTCAGGCGGTCAAGACTCTGGATGTCTTGTTTTGTCCAATCAACTACTCCAGAGGAATAGGAAAGGACTATGTTGGTGGCTTTGAACTTGATCTGACCAGTTAGCTCTGAGCTCCAGATTTTCTTTAAGCGAGATTTATACTCAGCCAGATTTAAGTTTCTCTTGAATCTGGGCAATCTGGAGCTTGTCTCGAACTTTCATTCCAAGATAGGTGTAGGCCTGATCTTCCACAAGATTCTCAATAACTCCGCCCCCTTGTACTGCCTCCGTGGTGTAGTGGTTAGAGCGTCCGCCCGGAGAGCGGAAGGTCGCGGGTTCGATCCCCGACCGCGTCATACCAAAAGACGTTAAAATATGGTACTTGCTGGTCCCTGCCTGGCGCTCGGCATTAATGGGTACAACAAGGACTGGTCGGCTCGGAGTCAGTATAATGTGTCTGAGTGGGGTATTCATGCTTCACTGCGGCATGGTATCTCAGTGGGCTAGCACTATAAAACCAGCCTCAGTCTTGGCGAGTACAAGCAGCCGCACATACACATACACACGCATGCACGTCGTCATATGAGCGAAATATTCTCAAGCAAAACGTTAAACCCAATTTCACCTCACCGCACCTCCCCCTTGTAACTTTACCGATCCATCAGTAGTTACCTTGCCATGTTTCACAGGAAGAGTATTACATTTGTCGAGTCCAAATGTCATGCCAATATCGTTAGAAAGGACTCGACAAGGAGAACCTGTTCTTTCAAATTGGTATCTCCTTTGGCAAGGAGGTCAATGTCATCCGTGTAAAGGAGATGAGTAAGAGATGTTGGGGATCTGTGCTGTGGAGGTCTGGGATGGTAACCCTGGCCTCCTCTTTATTGAGCAGGAAGCTCAAAGGATTTAAAGACAAACAAAAAAACAAAACAAAGGACTGAAGGAGTCACCCTGAAATATTCCCCGTCGACCAGCAACTAATCGGAGACTTGAGTAAATCAAGTAGTCGCTCAGGGAGGTCAATACACTGAAGATACTTCTGAATGTATTCATGCGGGACAGAGTCGTATGCGTTTCCTGTGTCAATGCAGCACATGGTGAGGTTGTTTTAACCTCTTTCAGAATCAATTTTTTGTACAAGAAGTTGATCCGTACATCCCCAACATTCATTCCTTGCTCCCTTCTGCTCTCTATAAATTATGTCATTAGAAGAGCAGTAAGATGACACGAGGTGTATCAAACACCCTGTGATAATCTGACTCTGTGTCACATCAGATTGGACTGGTCCTCCTGAAAGGGTACGTAAGTCCCAAAACATTCAAAGTCAATTAAAATCAATCCAACCTTTTTAATCGTAGAATATGTGTGTTTTTAATATATGGCTAAATGTGTCTAAACCGCTAACGGTTGAAGGGATGGTGTAAATCCAGCTAGGGCCCATGCAGGAAGCAAATGTACTGTAAGTCCCCATGGTCCCTAGTATGGTGATCTACCTTCAGTTGTTGGCAGTATATAGCCTGGTTTTACCGTGTATTGTCATCTATAGTTAAACTGTTTGTAGATTTAATTAATAGTTTTAAATTCGAATCTGTGATAATCTAGTTATTTTACTGTCCTTCGTTGACAGGTTTTTACAATTTACCATTAATTACTATGTACAAAATTAATTGTTCTCGTCACGATATGGCTGAAATATTGCCGATGTGACGATAAATTTTAACCCACTCACTCACTCTGATAGGACTGTAGACATTAATGGTGATGTGAAGAAGCTTGTGTTATAAAATATTTGTGTGAAACGTGTACATATGCTTTGTTAATATCTTTGTTAATTGGGCGGTGGGGTAGCCTAATGGTTAACGCGTTGGCTCGTCACGACGAAGACCCGGGTTCGAATCCCCACATGGGCACAATATGTGAAGCCCATTTCTGGTGTCCCCTGCCGTGATGTTGCTGGAATATTGCTAAAAGCTGCGTAAAACCAAACTCAGTCAGTCAGTCTTTGTTAATTTATCTTGTCCAATAAATATTACCTCAGATTGTCATGTCAGTGTGCAGTTTACATATAAACACACATACCTAACCAAAAGACTGTAGGGGCTGTAGCCCCTAATCCATTAAAACAACACTCAGGTGGTGGCAAAGTGAGACTAGCCCTTAAACTGCAGCAGTGTAGGCTAGCGCTGAATTTTACCATAATCAAATAAAGTTTAAATGTGTTCATGAAAAGGTAAGCCTATTCATCGTTACATGCAGTACCTGTGACAAAACCCATGCCTGAAAAAGGAAAGCCAACTTCTAACCTGAAGCACGCCTAACCTACCACTGACACTTGATACTAAAGGGAACTAATTTGTGCACATTCTTCAGACTCTAATCAAGTCTGGGCATAAAAACATAGTGAGTTACATTATGAGGAGTGCATCGCGATATCTCAGTAAGGTCTAACGCAAACAACCAAGTCTCTGTCTCTCTATCCTGACCACACCAATCCATTTTGTTGTCTCTTACATGTAGCTGCAAGATGCTCGAGGCTACTCTATTTCTGAGGGATAGTTAACACATATAAATACAAACACGATATCAAAGTTAAAGGCTTATATTAAAATTGAAGGACTTTTATATGTTTTGTACAATCTAGAAGTATGATAAAGACATTCGTTAACAAAATGAAACCATAGAATCTTATAATGAATTATTGGTTTACAATGCAAGAAGAAACATTGGGCAGATCGGAAGAATGTGTGGGTATTTACATTTATATATATTTCTTGTGCCAGCATATATATGATATGTACATTACAAAACAGTCCTACTGAATTTTCGTTGACTGAAAGAAAATCGTCTTCATGAGAGGATTTTGGGACGTGTAAGGAGATGGTTGTGTTTCACACCAGGTCATTCTCCAGCATCTCCTGCTCTTCCCGCAAAGGATCACTTTGAGTCTCTGATGTTTCACGTGGTGGGAGCTTTGTGTAATGGGAGACAACTCCTACGACCAGACAATCACTAGCCACATTTACCATTGTGCGGAAACGATCCCTGGAAAGATCAAATGTTTATGACACTACCAACAAATAGAAGACAAAATTCTTTCATCATCAATGAGAAATCTCTACGTAAAGGAGACTCGGTTGTACAATATCATGAGTATATATTTGTTTCAGCAGTTTTACAGCTGTGTGCTATTGTTTGTGAAGAACTGAGTCTGGACAATCAAGTGATTGTCACCATGCGAATACGATGACAAAGCATTGTGTGAATGAATCACTACGAAACCATGTCAACCTGTCATCTAGACAGACCGATTGGGTTGCTAATTAGACTGATAGCACACGTTCCAATACTATGTGTTTCCAATAAGGCAATCGCTATATGGCTACAATGTTGCCGATGCAATGCAAATATTTTTTTAAATGCATATTTACCAGCCCAGAAACACACAAGCGGGGTATTATTTCAATCATAGAATGTCACTCTTAACTTCGATCTTCGAAATACCGGTAAAGTGTACATCAGATATTATAATCTTGAGACTTTAGCTTGTTTTAGGCATAATGAGTGAGGTAGTTGTTGAGAAGATACTTGTTCCGAAGTCAATATAATGATAGCAACATAAAATGAACTCGGACAGTTTCATGTACCCAGATAATGCAACAACTGAGATGAATCCAAATATCTAGTATTCTCAATACAGGTCACTCTATGTGCCAGATCAAGCATTAGCATATGGTAATAAGGGTAACTTACATCAACCAATCAACGGTGACCAAGAAAGATATTCCTCGTTCCGGGAGACCAATAGCTTTCAGAACAAGCAACATCATAGCAACAGCAGCGCCAGGGACACCAGCAGATCCTACACTGCTGAAAACAGCTTTTAAACTGGAAAATATTAAATGTGACACCAAACGTTGTTTTATCGTGAAACTAGATTCAAAGCCAATTATGCATAAAACGCATTGAACACCATATTACATCCCTTAGATATGATACATCTATCAAAATGAAAAGCAATGAGAAAATAAAATACGTTAGCTGACTTTGAGGCTTATGGTACAAAATATACTCTGCATAGCCTTATCCTACTGCTTTGGAATTCCTGGTTATCAACTTTGTAAAATGTGTGTGAAATGTAGAAACACATAACCTGAATTCAACTTGGTAACCAAAACCCGTTCAAATTATTACACCCTTTATCTGTTAACCATTTTGATAACTGAAAGACTTACCCCTTCCACTGCGGACATCAAGTACAACAAATATATACTCCTCCATCACCAGCATTTATAAATCACCATTACATGTAGAAAGCTATCTCTGTGTGTAAATGCCTGTGTATTTTAATTCATTACTTACAACTATTAGGTGTAGTAATTTTGGAATCCCCACATGGGTACAATGTGTGAAGCCCATTTCTGGTGTCCCCCGCCGTGATATTGCTGGAATATTGCTAAAAACGGCGTAAAACCAAACTCAGTCAGTCAGTCAGTCAGTAATTTTGGCTTGTATGCCAAAATGGTCGATGCACAAGAACACCATATGAACAGTAACTATGCAGTGACTGTAAGTAACACAGCATGAAGTTTGTTGAAAATTAAATCCTTTTATTGTTTGAATCTAAACTGCCTAAGGAATTAAAGAGGAAATAAGTCAATCAATTTATTAACAAAAGGGATAAAATGCTGAATATGATTTGCATCATTGTTAGAGTTATGACGTTGTGTTTTTGTTAATTAATTTGTCACATTAATTAACTTTTAGTTATTATGGGTCACACAAATCTTAGATTTGAACTCACACTTACGTAGAGTATGTATTTTCACCTTTTGAGAGTGGGCTTGGGAGTTACCTCCCTTTGTTTGCTTTGCTTCCGACGGGAGAGAAGCGCCGAGAAGCGCTTCGATGATTGTGTTATGGCGTAAATCTTTCTAGTGAGTGAGTGAGTAAGAATTTGAAGTCACATCGTCAATATTTCAGCCATATCGTGACTAAAACAAGTTTAGAATTCACCATAAATACATGTAAAGTATAAAAACCTGTCATCGAAGGACAGTAAAACCGACTAGAATATCACAGCATCAAGAAATAAAACCAGCATCTCTCTCTAAAATTGGATTTTAAATTAGGACAATACAGTATAAAAATGGGCTATAGATCGCCAACAACTGAAGGTAGATCACCATACCAGGGACCATGGGGACTTACAGTGCTTTTGCTACCTGCATGGCCCTAGTTGGATTTACACCATCCCTTCAGCCGCTGGCGATTGTAGGAAAGTTAAGCCATAATTTAAAATAACGAAAATGCTACGATTAAAAGTTTGGTAGAGCGAAATTGACCTTGAAAGTTTTGGAACTTAGGTACCCTCTCTTTAACCCCCTTTAAGGATACAGCCACTAACAATCGAAGTTGATAATCTAATCTACCAATTATAAAACCTTATCTATTTACAAAACATATATCAAAATTCATTTAACAAATCTATCTCTTTTAAAAAACTCAATGATTAAATGATAATTAACATTATTAAAACGGTCCTTTACTGTTTTGATATTTAAATATTTACCCCTTATGATGGAGAATTCAACACAGTCAAGCAGGATTTGTTTGACAGTGACTCTCTCATCAAGGGATACAAAACGGAGGATCCTCGCCTTTCAATAGATATACATGAGTATATCTTGTGTGTAGCCAATACGACATCGTCGCATGATGACCTCTTCAAATCTGGACTGACAACCAAAGTAGGTACAACCAACATAGGGTTTTATTACAGGTAATTTATTAATACCAACTTGGGTGTCCCACTTCTTCTGCATCAGATCACGGATGTACGATCTAATCAGATTGTTTTAAACAGAGTATGAAATAAGAAGTGGTGTCACAGATTTGTTGAGTAGGGCCTTAGCAGCAAGATCAGCCATGGTGTTCCCAGAAATGCCAACATGGCTGGGTAACCAACAAAATACGATGTCGCATTGGCCAGTAGAAAGATCATTATATAATTCAATTATGTCGATCAAAAGTGGATGTTTGCAAGATAAATTTTTAATAGCCTGAAGGCAAGAAGAGAGTCGGAAAAGATTATGTATTGTTTATATTTATGGTGTTTTTAATATATTTTAAGGCTGTTAATATGGTATTAGCTTCTGCTGTGAAAATAGAGCTGTTATTTGGTAATCGGGAAGATATTGTTCTGGATCCAATGACAGTGGCACAAGCAACCGCGCCACCATTCTTGGACCCATCTGTAAATAAGCATTTTTATGTATTATATTTACTTTTTAATTGAGTATATTCTTGTTTATATTGTAATTTCTTTTCTAGAAATATCTAGAACTGTATAACAGGTATATAAAGGATGGTTGCTGAGATGTCTGACGGGACTACTACTCTGGATTTAAGCTAATTTGTGATAACATCAACGTTTCAAGGCCGACCGCACACACGTCTACATTAAACTTTCAACAGTTGTCATCAATCTTCAATCAGTACATCTGTTTACCGGTAATGTCAGGACTTTGGTGAGTTGATGTTTTAGATTTCTGTCTGAATATTTTAGATTTGTGACTCAATTGTATTGTATTAAAAATGTGTAATGTCACTCATTGTAATCTTGTTTATTGTTCATTCAAGAATATTATTGAATATCATGGGTACAATGTGTTGTCTGTGTTCTAATTTGCTGGTTTAAAGGGGCTCACAACCTATTCAATTTTATCTCAGTAATTTCTAAACTGGTTAAAAAGGGGCTCACAACCTTTTATCTCAGTAAATGTCTAAACCGCAGTTAGCACAAATGGATATGCACAAAAAGAATCTACGTTGTTTTCTTAAAGGCAACCCAAAAGCGTACCATCAAACATTCTGTTCTGTACAATATGGGCAGTTTACAACCGCTTCTTTTTACAGTTACTAACTTGTGACTTCAACCTACTCACATTTTATGTGCGCACTAATACGTTTTACCTTGTACTCTGTTGGTATTCACTGAAATAAGTTTACTGTCTGTTTTGAGAAAGTACTAAATAAGGAGTTTGTCTGCCAACCAGCTTTTGGTAGGCTGGATTGGTATTTACAGAGCACTCAGGACTCAGCTCCGTGGAATTAGAGAAGCAAAAATCGTATTTGGTGCGCAGATTCCACATATAAGAGATACAGGTATTTATACATTTTAAAAATATCTTTACAGTAATATGAATTTAAACCACAAGCTTGTATTGTCTAGGAACTAGGTCTCTAGGTTTACGTCTGTGAAGAACTTCTGCCCCTGCAGAGTAAGAATGGAGTATATTTGGATTCAGCAGTAACCAATTGGGACTCATAGTGATTCTAGGGAAGTGAGGGAGAAGGAGGTTGGCACCCTCAAAGATTTCTATCTCTAATATAGCATTTTAGAGTCTGAACTGTTTTGTTGCTTCATGTTGAAGTCAGCAATATCGCGTAAGGTTGTAAAAACAACCTTAGCGCTAAGGTGATCGTAAGTCCCATGTACCTCAACATAAACAGTCTTAGCGCTAAAGGTTGTTTTGTACAACGGCATCCAGGTCGAACTGGCTGATATTACTCCACCGCTATCAACAGTATCAGAAAATCTAACTACATGATCCAACTGATTCGAGCGCCGAATTATATTGTTGTGGATCCCGCTGTTGTAGTAAGAGCCCAAACGATCTAACGATCTTATAATTACTCATCTATACGGGTGTTTGCCTCACCAATTATACCCCAGAAACCCACCAAGATTACAAACATACCTTATAATTATTACATCTCTCCGAATGTCAGGCTGATCCCATTGTACTGAGCAATGAACATCAGACAATGGCAAAACACAGCAGCGCCGTCAATGTTGACTGTGGCACCCACTGGGAGGATGAAACGGGAAATCCGTGTGTCCATCTTCATCCGCTGCTCCACACACTGCATCGTCACCGGCAGCGTGGCAGCACTGTGAATAGATCCAACTGTCATGTAAAGAAGGCTGAGCTCTTAATTCCTGATTCCCAATCACAACATCGTATCAACTGACTGATGATGTTTGATTGAGCTGAGTAAAACGAGGTTACAATATTTTGGCAACTCGAAGGGCAACTTACGCGAAGTAAACAGCAGTCTTCAATCAAATACAAAATGGCTGCCTAGAGTCACAACAGCGAGGTGTTCATGTATTGCCATTATCAGTAAATATACTTGACAAAGCTGTCGTTGTACTTTTCCTATTAAATGCATGTAAGTTGCTTGTTATTTGTTGTTGTTTAATATTCATATTTCAGCAATATGGCGGCGGTCTGTAAATAATCGAGTCTGTACCAGGCAATCCAGTCCTCAACAGCAAATGGGAATACCGTACCATGTGTCAATCAAGTCAGTGAGCCTCACCACCCGATCCCGTTAGATGCCTCTAGGGTGGGTTGTTGAAGACCAATTCTAACCTGGGTCTTCAAGGGTTAATGCGTGAAAAACAGCTTTTACAAAAGCGTAGAACATGAAGTCATAGAATGACATTTTCCATACACATTATGTGCCTGTATTCTGATGTCATATTGAATTTGGTAAATTTCATGTTTAATAAGTGTTCTGTGAATATTCAAATTAATGTGATAAAAAAGACAAATCTAAAGAAATGTATTCATTTGAAGCTTTGAGTTTATTTGATCATTCACATTGGAGCTTGAATCAGTTTAAAATGAACCGTAGCAGTGTCAGCATTTATTGACTGTTAGATTTTGACTGTTATAATAATTAGGGATGAATGTATGTTGGACACTGTTTCCTTCTGCATATTGCTCTAAAAATTTGTTGCCGCCTGATGTAACAGTCCTATTTCATACAAAAACACCTGCACGTATACATTAATTTGTTCTCCACATTTGACGTGAACATTATCAATACAGTGTCATATGCAAATAGAAGATTAATGCGGGGGTAAAGCAGCCATAACTCAACAGGTCGGTTCATCAAGTCTAATAGGTTTCAATACAGTTACTCCAAACACAAAGTCAGTTGGAAAAATTAGTTTCATCTTTTGAATGGTAGCTGAATTGGATTTAATGTAGTGATACTTTTAGGCCTTCCCCAAAAGCCACAATATTCAACATCTGTCTTCCTTTACCTCTAGAGCATCATTTGCTCATTGTAGTTACAGTACTGTCGGAAAGGTGATAAATGTATTATGTTGTCAATATATCAACTCACCTATAGTATACCTAATTTTTATTTCAATTGATTTAACATGCCCATGCATTTAAAGGGCAGTTTACAGGAGAGAATTCGGTACCAAAACAACAACTTAAATTTTTTCAGAGTTCAACAACAGTAATCTGAAATAGTCTTTACATTTATGCTAATAATACAGGTGGCGTAAAAATATAAATTAACGTTTTTCTTAAACAAATAAATGTTGAATGTTTGTGTTACTTTACTTAATTATCGTTTCTTTATTGAAGAAATATTAATATAAATGTTAAGTCTTGATAAATATGTTTCCCCGTCATGCATGCACATCTTTATCACAGCGTCCACTGTGGCCAACTATTTGTAGGCGATTGTTGCAAAGGTTTACAAGTTGTTTGTGCTTGAAAAAGACAGAGGTAAACCTTTCATTAGTATATAAATGGTTTAATACAGAACTTGTAGAGCTGTTGGTATGTCTTACCAACAAGTTTACAATATTGTAAACAAATCAGACGAGACAGGGACCGTCTCAAAGCAAAACCGGGACGTAAAACCATCCTTGACAACTTTGACAAGGGAGTACTTAGACGGGCGGTCTACAAACTTTAGGAGAAGAATAATATATATATTCTAAAGAAGCTACACCAGTGACTTCGATAAATCTTTGGCCAGTGTTCACAACTAGATTAAACTGACTGAATTACATCCATATTTTCGCAATGAAATATACTGTTGACATGCCAAACATTAAAACGTTGCACATTTCTACAATCAATCGATAAGATAACACAAGTGATAGGATTCTTTCCAATTTACAGTAATTCGTATGTTTATTTCACAACAAACACACATACACAAATGATCCCTTCCATAACCAATACGTATACTATACATACACATATTCAACATTTTGAAGAAAACATCTATTGAGATGACCCATCGCCCGAGGGTGTGCTCAGGTGTCAACTTTACCTGTCGATACCGTGTATGCTGTAACACAGGCAGTTAATGTTTGTATCAAATAACGTCCCACTACCCCTTTTTTCTAAGTTTTTGGTATTTTCATCAGTAAAAACGCATTTTAGGGCATGTCTCACAATTTATTCCCTCGGTCTTCATTAGGTAGATGTTTCTTAAAGTGATATTTGTTATTTAAGTAACTGTAATACCTCTGAATTTTAAATATAAGTCAAAAAGCATTTTTCTAGCATTTCCGACAGTACTTTAGATGGCATTCGTCATTATAGTTCCGCCATTATCGGTGTCTATCCTGTAACCTTACAGCAAATATGACGGATATAACAGACTCGGTATCTGAGTGAGATAAATTGAATTGAACATGTGTACCTGGAGCTTGTTGCCAATGCGGTTATTACAGCTTGTGTTGTCTTGAGGTATATTGCATATGGGTTCTTTCGGGTCAGAATGAAATACAAGCCGGGAAGGACCACCAATGAATGGATTGCCAATCCAGCCATTTCAGCCATTTCAGTTGCAATGTAGATAACCAGTGTTTGTCCAGCCTCCCTCAGGTCAGTTGTGGACATTATCTGGGCAGTGATGAGAAACAGGATGCCAAGTGGTGAATACCTGGGCAAATACATGCAATTATGATACAAACAGACAGTGGAGACGTATTCCAGTGAAATACAGAAATGAACTCTCTCTCTCTCTCTCTCTCTCTCTCTCTCTCTCTCTCTCTCTCTCTCTCTCTCTCTCTCTCTCTCTCTCTCTCTCTCTCTCTCTCTCTCTCTGCGTCTCTTACGGTGTGTTATTTTGCACCTACCACATGACAAGTGTGATCATTTTGAAGGTGACGAGATTGATGACGGTGAAGAATTGTTCCACCACGCCTCCACGATGACCAAGTTGGTTTAGAATAACACCAAACACAATGCAGTAGGTAATGACGCCTGCCGAGAGAAATAGTTGGAATAACTGAGCATCATGTCCCATTGATCAAACACAAGGCCAATTCTTCAAACTTTTCGGATAGGCAATTGATATGGATGGAGTAAGTTTGTGTGTAAAAATTTGGGGGGTTTCGCTAGCACTTAGCGATATGCATTTGAAATGAACTGATCATTGGAGAAAGGTGCATAACAACAATTCACTATAACTGTTTCAGTGTAACCGATGTAATTATATTACAAAAGTACCGATTGGTGACTGGTTTGTGCAGCAATAATGATTCTCTCTACTCGCGTTATTTTTAATCCCTTCTGTTTTCTTTTATTTTGTTTGTTTCTGTTTTCTTTGTTGTTTTTTGTTTGGTTGTTGTTTTTAGTTTCTATTTTCGGTCTCTAATTTAGTTTATTTCCTTGTTTTGTCTGTTTGTGTTATTTTTGGGAATGATAGTAGCTGTTATTGTTTGTATATGTATCATTTTTCATTATGGCATGTCGTAGCATTGGTTGCAATTCGACATTTTTTCAAAGATGAAGAAAAAACAGTTTAAACAAAGGAGGTTTTGTCATGGTATTAATCTTGTGCTTCGATCATGTGTGACCACCATAGGGACTTATTCCATAAAAATCGAAATGAGGGTCATTAAAGTGTATTAAAACCTCGTATTTGTCTAAACTGCTTTGATGCTCTTCCTAAACTCGACATTATCGGTTATAATGTCAAAATCTCCGCAGAGTATTTCCACATTTCTTGACAAAGATTCATCTTAACCCTGTAGTCACTTACAGTATTGTTTTGTCGACGTATAAATAAGATCATAATCAAAAGAATGATTACGGATAAGTACCTCATCATCATTAGAAATTTTATATATCACGTTTAAACCTGACCAGTTTATTGAGGAATTCCATTCAAATGCAGAAAGATCATCAAGCTCTTGTAACTTTGGATGTTTTCTATTCAAATTGACCAAGCAACATTGCCTTAGCTTCTTAAAGTTTGTGCGATCGGCCACCAACTGAGGAAGGAAGATGGTGAGGTGAAATTGGGTTTAACGTCGTGCTTGAGAATATTTCGCTCATATGACGACGTGCATGCGTGTGTATGTGTATGTGCAGCTACTTGTACTAGCCCAGACTTAAGCTGGTTTTATAGTGCTAGCCCACTGAAATACCATGCCTCAGTGAAGCATGAATACCCCACTCAGACACATTATACTGACTCCGAGCCGACCAGTCCTTGATGTACCCATAATGCCGAGCGCCAGGCAGGGACCAACAAGCAACATATTTTAACGTCTTTTGGTATGACGCGGTCGGGGAGCGAACCCGCGACCTTCCACTCTCCGGGCGGACGCTCCAACCACTACACCACGGAGGCGGTCGAAGGAAGATGGCATGAAACCCCTTCCGATTAACGTTTCAGTACATTATGTAACCGTTATTGCCTTGGTCATGAAAACTATTATGTATTTCCTTGTCAACGACATTAGGGAACTCATCCAACCTAACTATTTAGAAACGTCAGCAACAAGATGTAAGAATACCTATGACATTTGCACCATCCACCCTCACAGTTTTTCTTGCTGTACTAACACGCTGGCTTATGTTCTTGGATTTCCCAAAAATGATCACCAGAACTGGAATTGACATCGTCCCGGAACTCATGAATTACCATCTCAGTTCTTGAGTGTAGGACTGTAGCAGCAACGATGTTGTCAGGAACGATGTTTGAGCCGATACAAACTGTTATATTTAGCGACGTTAGACACAATCATAGTCCCTGGTATTATAAGCAACACTAAATATACTCAGCAGTAAAAAAACCCGTCAATACGAATTCAAAATTAGATAGGCACTGTAATCAAATCATTACAGACATTGACATAATACGTGGATCCAAAACGGATTTTGTGTACAATATCTTGACACATCAATGAAGACTTTCAAGACCTTACGTGAACGTTTGCGGTCCATTCAGACCCTTGACTTCAGTATCTATTGTGACCACCACGAGCGGCAATAACGGCAGCACAGCGTCAATGCATGGAGTGAACCAATCGATTGATGAAGGCCATTGGCACCTGGAACCACACTGAGAAAGGCCTGGCGCAATAAATCGGCTGTATTTGGCCTTGGTATGTCATTATTCAGTCTCCTCTGAATTTATCCCAAAGATGTACAATTGGGTTTAAATCAGGACTAAGGGCTGGTCACTGCATAATGTTGACACCGTTCTGCTGTGGGAAGTCCCGTGTAGCTCTGGCAGTATGGGCCCGGGCGTTATCATGCTGGAAAATTGTGTTCCGGTGACGTGCGAAATGTGGTATGACGTGGGTTCTGAGAGCTTGGTCGATGTAGCGCATCGCTGTTATGCCGCGTCCTCTCCTTGGACCAAGGTTCTGGAACACCACAGGACCCACTCTCTGGTTCAGGCCTATTCCACCCAATACCATGATACTTGCAGCTCCCCATGAGTCTCTTTCCATAACACATTGATCTGAGTAACGCTGGCCACGTCGTCGCCATATTCTTGTTCTGCCATCTGCAGTTGATACGCAGTACCGACTCTCATCTGTGAACAGAACAGTTTTCCATTACATGTATCGCCAGTTTTGGTGTTGTAGGGCAAACTGTAGACATTCACGCCGATGACGCGGGGTGAGGATAGGTCCAGGGTAAGGTTCAAGTCTTCCTAGCGCCTGGTTCCTCTGAGCTGTCCTGAGTCGCGGCATCCTGCTGACGTTGTATTGTGAATGTTTCAACAAGGGTTTGGGGTGCATTTTATAGGGCTGGTCCTTGTGAACAGCACGTGCAGCATGAGTTGCATGAAAAACATGGAGAACATCGTACCATCTCCGAGATCTTGTTGCGTTTTCGACACCATTTCCTTGGTTCCATTCTGAGTTTGGGAAAGGAATGTCTTTGCTCAGGTAAAGTTGAGGATGTCAAAAATATACAATCAAAACATTAAATGAGTTTACAGATATCCGTTTCTGCAAAGGAAGATTCCAAACTGACGTTTCTTTTGCTCCTAAGAATAGATGCAATTTACTTAATATGCTGTTCCTACAAAGCTATTATCAATGTGAGGGACGAAATACAAAAACAAATTTGAATCACTTGTCTCCAATATGTATTTAAATGTGAAATTGTTAACACATTTCATATACTGAGACAGATGTTATGGACATGTATTCTGATATAATGGTAATATGTAATAACACACATATTTCCCCTTTTTAAATTTATTACATGATGAGAAAATTAATCTGCCTTTACAGATGCCCTACATTAACGCATCTTGGGGAGACGCATACAATTTGGCCTTCAGGAAATTTTTCTTGGCTGAGACAGCTGATGGTATTGCATAGTCTGACATGGCTGATGCATATCATCACACGCGACGTGCATAAACAGATGCTCATGATGTCAGTCACTAGATTGTCTGGTCCAGACTAAATTATTTACAGACCGACGCTATATACCAGGAATATAGTTGAGTGCTGCATTAAACAACAAAACAACCCTACCTTACTAAATCCAAAATGATATCGATTGCTGGCGCCATGGCACCATTGTGTTGAATGTCGGTTGTTAATGGATCTGAGTATGATCCAGGTTTGATGCTCAGGACTAATGCCAAACCAACGAGTGTTGCAGCAACAGAGGTACTTGCATAGTAAACCATAGAAAGTACACCCATCCTTCCAGCAGATGAACCCTTTATATTCCCCAGACCTTCAAGAAACATATATGGTTTGGTTCTGCTCACAAAACTTGAAATTAAATAGTAGTCTATCAAGATTTTTCATAATATTGGCATACGTAACAAGATATTAGGTTACATTTATCAACTTTTGCTTTTTTAAGCATAAAATAAATGGCATACTTTTCAACATGTGTTGTCCATTTATCCAGTTGATAAATCAATGTAGTACGTTGGAAAGACGGGTTAAATCCGATTTATATATTACAGATACAGATCATTAAGGCAAACAATATTGGTAGGTCACTTACATGAGTTGGTATCTAATCCTACTAAACAATAACAAATATTAAATAAATGTATTAAAAAAATTGCAAGATAATGAAATGTGAAAATTGGCATGTCGTTTATTTGCAGTATAATAGGGATAAGTAGACAATGTCGACAAGTGTTCCTGGTGGATACTACAACGTCAACCAACGAATATGCGCAGGTGGTAAACTTACCTGTAATAATACTGGCGACTATCAGAGGCAGCATCAGCATCTTCAGCATACGAAGGAAACCTCTCCAGGGAACTGCACCAACTGAATAGCTTCAGGGGTTGGCTTGAGAGACCGGCACATAATCCCAGCAACAATTCCCAGTACAACGGCGAGAATTGTAGAAATGAGAAGGATGTTGTGTCGTAGAAACTAAAGAATCTTCATCTGCCATTAGACATGTCAATTTCCATATGAATGCTGATAAATGCACATATAGGTGTGGATAATAAATGTACATTATGGGCTGTGGGAGTGTTTATTTCAGTATTTAATACTGTCAAAATAATAATAATGAGTCCATTTGTAAAGCGCTAAACTCCAGGGTGCCGTTCCACTAACCGATCTTAACTAAGATCAATCTTAGCAAGTTACGCCAATTTTACAATCGTCTTAGCTAAAAGTTACACCCGTTCCACTAACCGATTTTAGGCCGATCGTAGCCGGTCCCGATCTTACGATCCGATCTTAGCTAAGATCGAGACTCTTTCGTGCGAGAGATAGAAAAATGCGAGGCACGAGTTATCTCCCTTTCGTTAGCCTAGCAGACGATGGAAGTTGCTTTAGAACCAACTGTGATCGCGGAGAAGAAACCTCGAGGGAGAAAAAGCAATTTTTCTCCTGAGGAAGTAGCCATTCTTATTGACGAAGGGTCCACCATCACTCCCTTTATCGGCTTCTTTCGGACCCGGAGTGACGAAGAAATCTAAAGATTCGATGTGGGAGAAGATAGCTTCAAAGTAAGTGCTTGTCCGTGTTTTCAACATGTTTATATGTTCCTTTTACATATTACAGTACCATTGTTACGGTGGTATTTCGTTAATATGCATCCCTAATGTTTAGCGTTTTTCATCAGGAACATATTCCTATTTGCACCGTAAATTGGGCAGGTAACTCGCTTGTAAACATCCCAGTCATTTCCTACTTTACTTCCGCATTCCACATTCGGTAACGCAAAGACGTATAACGTCTCTGGGTAACGGTAAGATGGACACTTTTTCTTCAACTTGAAATATCGTAGATGGTAAGTGATCACATAAGTTTGCTAAAAGAAATTACATGTAACTGATAATAAATATGGAAGAAAGTAAGATATGTACAGGGCTAAAACTAAAAACTATGAATTGGGATTTGAGTCTGCAGTGAATTTAAAAGCACTTCTACTTATAATTTGTCTTTCAGACTCATTTCTTAAACAGGTTTATAGCCATTGAACTAAGTATCAACACAATATATATTTTAGATTTTAATTCATAAATTTCATAAATTATTAATGAAAACAGCCAACTTGGAGCCATGTACAACAAATCAAAATGGACAAGTGAATATAATTAAGGTTTTTATTTAAGTTTCATAACCCATTTTCTGAAGTCATGTGGAAGCAAGAACAATGACATGGACTATAATGAAATGATGATTGAAATATATATCATTGACATATTCTTCAAAGAATTTGATATTATGGCAAACAGATAATTATTTTATGATAAGTATATTGGATGCTATACTATACTAATATTTCAGAATAAGTGCCAACACAGCTGGTGTGAGATCGGCGTGTGAAGTCCGCAAGAAGTGGAATGACATAAGGTAAAAATTCCTTTTGTTTTTCTTTGAATAGATTAACCTTGAAAATAATACATTCAACCAACAATTGAAATTATCTATCACCTCAAGATTCATTATGATTTTACACTTACCCAACCAACTCATCTGACTGTCACAAATGATATCAGTGTACATGTATTCAATATTTACAGATCAAAAGTGTTATTCTGTAAATGAAAGAGACTAGAGTGATTGAAGACGTACATGAAAATTGTATGATGAAAATTTTATGTACATGATCATTTTTTCCAGAAGGAAATTCTTTCATCTGATTTAAATTGTATATCACATTGTCTCTATACCAAAGTGATGAACTAGGTTCCCTAAAATTCAGAACCTGTAATGAGTATGTGGCCAAAAGACTATATGAAATATTTGATTTCAGATGCCAGGTGGTAAAAAAAAAAGAGCTCAGCTCATGAAAAAAAGGAGGCCTGTAAGACTGGCGGTGGTCCTCTGCTGTTATGCTCAATGAGCTGGATGAAAAGGTATGAAATGTTTACTTCACAGATATAATAAATGGAAGATGAAATTTAATTTTCCTTATCATAAATCTATTTCGTTGAGTAGTATTTTTAGTTGTGACAAGAGAAAATTAGTTGCATAAAATATTATTATTACAAGTTGTATATTACCTGGCGAGGTTAAATAGATGATTCATTTGAATATCAAAAGTGCCATTTATTACATGTACCACAAATTTATTTCTTATGTGAAATTATAGTTTTCTTCAAATGTTCAAATTCATGTTTTCAGGTGCTCTCAACCATTCCTATTTGTCAGGTTGAGGGAATTGATGGTGGAATTGAAACTCCACTTTGTACTGGTAATTATAATTTAATTTGACACCTTTTCACCAAAACCAGTGGTCATAACAATGAAGATATATGAATTAGATTTTGAGTATAACTGTAATTTTAAGTAACTGTTTATCAAGGGATTTATTATCTGTACCTATTTTTGATTAATTAATCAAATAATGATGCTCCTGTATGTACTTTGTTTATAGAAGATCAACCTCCAACAGTTGAAGCATGTCTCCCTCAGGAAAGTGCTGCAGGTACATATTTATCAAAACAGTGTATAAATAATGAGAAATTGTGAACACCAAGGATGTTTTACATTTTCATATCCAGATATAGTAATTGAAAGTCTGTGTATTCTTACACCCCATAATGTGTCAAATTTCATAGACAATAAATATCAATGATTTCATGAGATTTGAAGTAAAAGTTTGTTGTAAAGAATTTAAACATTTTCAACATCTTTTTTGTTCAATGTTTTAGCACTAAGAACAGTGGAATCAGTTAATGCGGGAAGTACATCCACAACATCAGTGGCAAGTCCTGTGATCCCCCCATCCCAAAAGATAGCAACAAGCACAGCGATGTCAATATCCTCAGCTGTAGCAACATCAGCCTCTACAGTAACCCCCAGAAGCGGAACCACAAGCCATGTGCAGGGTCTGGTGAAGGTAGAGGAGTCAAAGTTGGAGGTGCTGCAACAGCTGCTTAGTGTGGAGACACAGAGGCTGGCCGTGGAGAGGGAGAGACTAGCACTAGAGAGGGACAGACTGGCACTTGACCGGCAGCGTCTTGAGCTAAAGGAGAGGATGTACAATTCCAATGTTGAAAATTTCATCACACCTGTGATAAGTTTTGATTAAAGAATGTGGCTTATTTTAATATTGTGACATAATTTAGCAAAAACAATTGATGTACTATTTGATGCATTCCTGCAGTTGAACAATATTTAATGGTGTGCATGTATAAAATAAACAAAACTGAGATTTTATCCTGTATTCATTGTTTATGGTTGAAGGTAACATATACTAGTAATTACTTTTTAAAGTGAATATGCTACTTATCACCATGTTCATGCTGTGAAAAATGATCAATGAGGTGTTGTCGGACTTGGTGGCCGTCATTGACCGCTCCTTGGTAGGGGTCATCTGTGTTGTCTTCCTCCATGGGTTCTGGGTTGGGGTAGGCGCAGGTCTATGCAGAAGTTGTGTAAGTAGAAACACGCACACAAAATTACTTTGCAGCATTTCTTGGTAGAGAAGGGCAGGTATCCAGTGCTTTTGTGCAAACACCTGCAAACTTATATTAACACTACTACAACACTTCATAATCCAAATCAACTTCTTTCATGAATTATTCTCAATTTTACCTAACTGTTCAGTAAAATTAATTTCATGAAAATCATTTTAATTTGACGAATCTTTTTATTTTTGATAATGACTGCAAGTTTATATTTGTTGTTATGAAACCAACCTGAATCGTGATTTCAGGACACCAAAAGCCCTCTACCACATTTCTTGTCTTGCAGTGTGCTGATTGGTATCTCTGCTGAGCCGGGGTGCTTGGATCTGCCAGGGGTCAACAACCATGGTCGACACCCATATCTTTGTCAAAACATAATTGAAATATTGATATGGCTATTAGAAAAAGAGTTGCATCAAGTTTGAAGTTATGTATTTATAATATGATCATTAAGTTAAACTATGACAATTAGGTAACAGATAAAAATACCTTATATGCCAATCATGCTTTTATACATACAAATACATCTGACACTAACTAACATTACTGTACCCTGAATCTCCAAGGAGAAAACCGTCTGGGCAATCATGTTGGAATGTTTGTCCAATGATACTGTTGTTTAGAATGGAGGAATCATGCGCAGATCCTGGCCATCTTGCCACAACATTAGTAAATCTGAAATGTTAAAGTAATGTACATTTTTAATATAAAGACTGCACATTTTTTTTCTATTTGTAGTTCTTCAATCAAACTGTAAAATGTAATAAGAATAAGAAATAGGGAATATTAGGAATGGGAAAACTACAAAAAATAAACTTAAAGCATTAATATATGATCAGCATGCGCAGATCCACAAATTTTGAAAGGGGGTGGCTGGTGGTTTCGCCCCCCCCCCCCTTTTGGCTCCTCCAACGCAAAACAAATCTTCAATGTGGTCTTAAGTCATTTTCAAAACAAAAGAGGGGCGAACCCCTGCACACACAGACCTCTGGATCCGCCAATGAACAGTGCCCGATGGGATTTGAAGCGAGGATTTTGGAACGACAGTCTTAGCTCTACCAACTGAGTACAAAACACGAGAAAATAATTTGTGCTTGCAGGAGACCTTTGGCCTCACCATGACATTTTATTTTTGATATAATTCCTAACGTGTTATCAATAGAAATATACGTGTACTGTGTTAATCTTCATTTCACTAACGATTTTAAGTATAATTAAATGATGACGAGTTGGTAACAAATAGTCTAACCCTTAGAGGGCCCCATCTGTTAGTGACAGGAAACCAATAGCCATTGGTCAAGATCGTTTCTAATGTAAACAGGAAGTGTTTCGCTCGAGTCAGTATACCGAAACTTATGAATTCTACTTATTGCATTACATCAAAAACACCAACCATCTTACCTGAGGGATGCATCGCATACTGCCTGCACATTAATGGCATGGAAGCCTTTTCTGCACACAAAAGCAGCCTCTTCGTCAGCAGGGGGCTTCGCAATCGGGATCAAAGTCCCATCAATGGCACCAATCACCTTAGGAAATCCTGCGAGTTTGAAAAAATCACTCTTTGTCCTGATGATACTCCCCCGTGTCTGGTCGAAGGAAATATTATCCAACGCATCACATATAGCCTGAATGGTTGGACGGAGCAGCCTAGATACGCTTGACTTGGATATACCATTAAGATCTCCCAGTTCAACAAGAAATCCACCCTTCCCGAGAAATCTTAGGGTAGTCAACACCTTGGTTTCAGGGGAAAGTGCGTGTGAACGCTTAGTATCTGGCATAATGTGTGGCTGAACCTTGTTAATCAGCATGAACAAGGCGTGACGAGGCATTCTATACCTCGCCACAAGCACGTCATCCGATGATGTGTCTAGAATCTGTGAGCGGTCTCGGAAAACTCGCTCACGGTGTAAAGCTCGCTCTTCTTCTTCACATACAATAATGAAAGTCGCCATTTTGGTCTCTCTACGATTGATTTTAGCGATCCTAAGTTGGTCATGAGCAACTTAGACTTTGGATCTTAACTTTACGATTGACTTAGGTAAGATTGGTTAGTGGAACGGTATGCCGATCGTAACGTCACGCTAAGATTGGGATTTTAGGGGTTTACGATTGGCATAGGGCTAAGATCGGTTAGTGGAACGGCACCCAGGCCAGAAGGTATTCTCATACAAATTTGACCAGTCCACTATGCCCCTATTTCAAAAATAACGTCGTCAACATCGTCATAACCAGCGTATTTAACCTTTATGTAAGGATAAAAGTTAAAAATCTACGATTTTATGGATATACAATTGTTATACCGCAAACCGCATATGTATCTATATACGTCTACGTAGCAGTAATAATAAAAAGGTTACTTAACTGGGTTTTCCGAAATTTTCCTCATGGTCTGGTTTGTTTACAGTCCGAAGTCCCATGGTATGTGTTCGTCACACGTCAGCTGGTCTAACATGCAGCTTGTCCCTGTCATTCATGACACACATTGTTTTGTCATCACTATATGCTGAAATATGTTATGTGACTTTAACAATGCCATTTTAAAAGCTATTACAACCAGGTATCGAGAAGTATGTATGCATAGAATCAAGTGACGAGCAGTAAAATTCACAACAGGTATGGTGAATGATGGTGTGCATGGTGAACCTGAATTTCTGTTCGACATATTACCTAGATTTCTCGATATATCCCTAGATTTGCTAAGGTACAACCAACCCATCCTCCATGTTTTGATAACAATGTTAATCTGTCACCCTGGCAAAAAAGATCCCTTGATCAGCCATTAAACACGTCTTGGATGAAATGGCCAGAATACTCGGCAGAAGAGGTACAAATATACAGTTTAGAGTAAATAGGATGGTGGGATGGTTTACATGGAAAATTGTACAATGTCATGATGGTATTAAAAAATATCCACATTTTTTAAACACTAATTCGTTTACAGTTACACAGTTCGTTAAATTTTAACATATTAACTATATTTAATGTGTTAAAATTAAGTATACACACACATAAACACTCGTTACGTGTGTGTGTGTGTGTGTGTGTTTGTTTGTACCTCTTATTCCGATGCTGTTTGAAGGAAGGGCAAAGAAAAATGTAATGAAATTTATCGCCAGCATCACACGTATCGCAGAGGTTACACATTCTTTCTCCGGGTAGAATGTTGTGCCACCTTCCTACTTCTATAGGTAAACGGTGGCAGCAAGTTCTAAGTCGAATTTAAGAGTCAAGGAGAAAGGGATACATCTCAAATATTTTTTTAAAGACAAGTTCAGTTTTGATAATTGGTCCCTTTAGAGTTGCTATATCATGTAACCTTAAGTACATAATAGATTTAATTTCATTGAGAAAGACAGCTTGTTGACTAAGCCAGTAAAAGCTATAGCCTGTTTCATTAAAGACGGCTTCCACAGATGTTATTAACACAGGTGGGTATTATCAGCCATCCCTTTGTTACTACAATCACTGTTTTGATATTATACTGCCTTTGTATTTGTGATATCACTCTATATTGTATTGTAATTGCAGTTCCTATGTTTTGATTTGTAAAAATCGTTCATTGTTGAATGCAATTGTTAATTATATCACATTTCTTTGTTGTTCGATGGTTTCACACGAGGTCCTTCTATGCATCATAACTTTTCTGAAGTTTGTATTTCCGAGAAGCGTGCATACAGCTGTCTAGGATTAAGAAAATCTAATTATAATCATTGTCAAGACACCATTTCTGCTTTTGTAGACATGTTGCAGCTGATGGTATACTTAATTTTACTCTTAATTTCACAACGACAGGATATTTTGAAGTCTTTTATAAAACGTGGCCCATGAATTGAATCGTTTAAAATATTTTTGGCACTATCTATTGTTGCATTGAGGTATGAAATTAAAAACCAATGTGCAAACTGTATGAACCGCGTAGTAGGATTCTTACAAAAGTTTGCACATTGGTTTTTAGTTTCATACCTCAATGCAACGAAAGAAATACACAGTCAATCCTTATAATTAAATTCAACAACAAATACTATAGGCTTTCAACAATATTTTATTTAAACACAATCAAATTCATCGAAACAGATATCTTTGTTACCACCGATTTACGGATTAACATTTTCGGTGTAAGAATTCGGTAATGGCGTGACATGACTCAGGTGACTCATTTACATAAAATGACACGCCTACCAAACCATTAGCCAATCAGCATAGAGCACCCCCAAACAGCTGTCAATCAACCAAGCTAACATCGGGGTTGCGAATCAGAGCGGAACAAGACAACGTGACGCATGCCGGTAACGGCAAAGTTTCAAGTTCAAACATTTGAATTATTACCAGCGAACTGAAAGACACAGTTTGAAAAGTGAGAATTGAAATGAAGCCCGATGACATGAAGTTAGTGGAACTGAGATTGTTAGTGGCAGCAGTATTTGCGCAAGTGGAAAGGGGCTGTGATGTGACTGGGATTGCGATGCCATGAACTGATGTTCCAACGTGCGCATGCTCTTGTCGAGGCGTTACAATGGCGGAAAGCGTCTCGCTAATTCTTAGTTTTTGAGTAGTCGTTGTGTGGCGACTATAACTACGCACGGAACTTTCATTCCTATGGCCACTCATAAACATTATGTGACGAAGTTCAAAGCCAGCGTCACTCATGGCTTGGATTGCTGTGGCGCGAAGGCAATGAGCAGTGTATGACTGACTACATTGGGCATTGCGACATATGTCAGACATGAAACGAGTGAACTGGTATTTTTGACTGGGGTTGCTGTATACCAAATGTTGTGTGCGTCTGGAGAACTAAGTGCATCTTTATTACAGTGCGAAAAAGTGATCCGGCATTTGGGTCACTTTTGTCAAGGAGCTGGCGAAGTGCATTGACACATTGGTTTATATCATTCGTCGCGTACATTCGTTTGTCGCTTTGCGCTTCATCGCTGCTGAGACCACCCTGGATGTTTTTTGTTTCGTTTCGTGGGACAGTGTGACATATTCAACATTGCTATCATCTACCGCAAATTCAAAGGATGTGGGCGTAAGCTGCTGGTGAAATTCAAGACCACGACTTACAAAATGGATGGCCACAGAGTCGTACCAATACTTTGTACCGGAGGATAAAGGATAAGGATTGATGCCGAATGCAGATAAGTGCTAATTTTCATCAGATCACTTGTTTCAATGATTGATTTATGTTGTGTGGACGTGACAAGCCATGTTGTACATTGTACTTTAATTTGGCATCAAGCATATCATTTGCAGACTTAAACTGCTTATCTCTTACAATGTCAATATCTCTCCCGATATCATTTAAGTGTCTTTTCAGGGCAGAACGAACATTTTTAAAGTGTTCTTAGGATACTCGGCAGCATGTGCAGCCGGCATATTTTCACATCTTGTTTCCTGGTTTTAGGCTGTGCCTCAGTGTAGAAAAAATCTCAACTTTGTGTTAAGTTCCTCTGGTGTAATTGTTGAAAAATCCACAGTCCTCCCCTCGCTCTCGAACGACCAATCTAAATAAACAGAACGAAAACAATATCTAGAAACCTGACTATGACAGACCCAACTATGTAAACTTTGAACTAGGTAACTTTATAGCAAATCATTTTTCTCGGTTAGATCTACATAATTTAATCTCATTCTGATAATTGTTCCATTTTTAAAAATACAACTTTGTGCTGATGAACGGTCTTTCGTTTTGAGAAAATATACGTAGGATGGAATTTGAAAATAATATTTATATGAATTGTGTATATCTACCTTGGAATAGTTTAACACCCCATTTTGTGTTTCTTTTTGTGGATGTTGATTGTCTGTAGTCGTCCATTCGAAGTAAATCATTATTTGATAAACGTTTGAAACGATGTGTTTGGGATGGCTTATCATCGACTTGCATTGCACTAGTCATCTCGTGATTTGCCGATGTTTTTGTAGATCTGGTTGATGCTGTTATCTCTAACAAACTTTCAATTTCTTCCAGGTCTAAATCATCCGGAAAATCAATGTTATCCGTGCTAAGAGTTGCAACGTTTCCGGTAGATTGATCTTCGAAAATCGACTCAAAATTCCCCAGATCGAAACTTCCGTACTTGAATCGGCCATCTTGTTGGAATGTAAACAAGACAAGTTGCAGACGACCGTTCGCTGACTGCACGTGGTAACCACAGTAACCAGTCAAATAATGTATTATGACAAACACTTTTTATTAAATAAACACTTTATTAACGTTCACGGATAATTTTGAGTTGTTTGTTTATGTTAACCACAATGTATCACTTCAATGTTTATCCAAAGTTCATTAAGGTACCTGAGTGCAAGGGAATTCCTCGCTGTGTAAAGGTATTCCCCGACATTCCTCAGGTCCGAAAGTAGTCCGGTTCGGTGGGCGTGGCTTATTTTTTAGATTCATTGGGAAATGAAATCAAAAGAAATGTTCCCAGTTAACCAATCAGATTGCCAGAATTTTAATGAACACAATAAAAAATTTAATTTTTTGTGGTGGTGGCGCTGGTGGTGGTGGACGGAATAGATATGTACATTTACAATCAAACGTGGTTACTTAAACATCAGTTTCACCCGTGAAGATCCAGGTTAGAATTGATCTTCTGTAACCCGTGCTTGTCTAAAGAGGCGACAAACGGGATCGTATCCCAGTTGCGAACATCGATTGTGTTGACTCTGACTAGCCAGACACACGGTTACCTTTTTTGTGAATGTATGTAATTTGTAGGTCTGGCTAAAAATATCGATAATCGGACATATCGACGAGAATCATTATTAATGATTTTCGATATGATAATTGTGTAATCGATAATATCGGGAATGAATGATTTCGCGAAATAATTTTTAAATTTACTCAGAAAATACAGAGTAGGTCTTTTTTATGTTCAGGACGGTATTGTGTTGGTAATCCAAGCCCAAATATGTTACCACTCACATTCATTTCTTTCCGATTTTAAGTCAGTTTTGCTGAATGTTGCTTCTCTGATATTCATCAATATTCGACCGGTATTCATTTAACGATGATAGATCTCTGTGATCGATATCGATGGCCAACC